TTTCCTTTCCTGACAGTGTCATCTAGGGTTTTAAGCCTGTGACCCCCGTGGCTATGTGTATCTGTGACTTTTGGGGTGCCTATGTCGACTGCCTGCCTTCCTTCTTATGTCTTGGGTTTGGTTTGAATGCCCTCTGTTTCCCACTCTGTAACTGCACTATTCCACCTTTCCCAGCATACCAAGGACACTTTCCATTTCCTTTCTTTTTTTTTTTTTTTTTTTTTTTTAGACGGAGTCTCGCTCTGTCACCCAGGCTGGAGTGCAGTGGCGTGTTCTCGGCTCACTGCAACCTCTGCTTCCAGGTTCACGCCATTCTCCTGCCTCAGCCTCCTGAGTAGCTGGGACTACAGACACCCGCCACCGCGCCAGGCTAGTTTTTTTGTATTTTTAGTAGAGACGGTGTTTCACCGTGTTAGCTAGGATGGTCTCGATCTCCTGACCTCGTGATCCGCCGTCCTCGGCCTCCCAGAGTGCTGGGATCACAGGTGTGAGCCACCGCACCTGGCCCCTTTTCTTTCTTTTATGTTTATTGAGACATGGTTTACATAAGCAAATTTCACCTTTTTAGGTGTATAGTTCTTTAAGTGTTTATATATATATAATACATGATATATATTTCTATATATAATATGTATTTCTATATATATAATATATATTTCTATATCTATTAAAGTATCCCCCCGTACTTTTGGAGTACCAGTGGTTTTGGGTAACATGGATGAATTGTGCAGTGGTGAAGCCTAGGTGAGAGAATGGAATTGTCTTTAGAACATGCAGCATCCTTCTGGAGTTCGCAGTGGCTTTCAGATCATCGTGATTAATTGGTAGTAATGCCAATGCAAGCAGGAACGAGGAATCCTGGAGTGGCAAAATCTGAAGTGGGCTGCTGGCCACAGCAGACTGACTCCTTTGGCAACACAAGTGTTTCATGAATGTGTTGTGTTTATTTGGTCGTTTTCTAAAAGTCTTCATCTCTCCCCTTCTGTGGTAAAAATCTGGAGGAAGACCAATTGAAGCTCAAGCCTGCAGAAGTGTGTGTTTTCACAGGGACCATTTGGAGATTGGCCTTTGTGCAGATTTATGAGTTGATCAGAGGAAAAAAGTAAAACAGTGAAGGAGGGAGGGAAGGGGGAAAGTAAGGAAGAAAGGGCAAGAGAAAGTGCAAGTCAGACTGCAGGGCGCAGCTGGGCGTCTGTATGTTCACACGCTCCCCGGGAGATTCTTATGCTCAGCAGAGTTTCGGAACCCCTGGCTGGTCCTGTTTAAATTAGATCAATTTAATTAGACCAAGTGCTTCGGGGCATCTGGCCTGGCAGTGCCCTTAGCAGATAGCAGGAACCCCAAGAGAAGAGGGCAGTGCTGCAGTTACGATGCTGATGCTGTGATGTAAAAGGTGGGGGAAAGGGGCCCCAGGCAGCCATGAAATGCTGTCATGCTGGGTCTTGCACGTGCTTCTCTGGACTTTCCAGTGCCCTCTCAGAGAAAGCCCTAAGATCTCACCAGTGCAGAGGCCAAAAGTGGAGTTGGGGGTCAGGAAAGGTGGACCTGGGGCAGTTGTGGGAGAATTAATTAGAGAACCTCAATAATTCCGCCAGAGTGTCCCCCACAGAAGGTGACTATCCAGCCTTGGCCTGCAGATTGACCTTCCACAGCCACTTAGCTGGCTCACAGTGGCAGCTGCCACCCAGCACATTGGAGCTCAGCCTTTATCTCGCCTGCCTCCGTCCTACCTCTGCACCACACCCAAAGGGAGTATGCCCGCTGCCCTTGCCCACAATTCCATTCCCTTCGCTGTCTCCCAGAGACTCCCACTAAACTACGGACAGAGAGAGCCCACACTAGCTGCCCAAATTCATCCACCTTAGCTGGCACATATCAATATGTGTAGATGGTAAAAAGACCCCAGCACATGGGATCCGCAGCTGAGGGAGGGCCACTGAGCTGAGAGGGCCCTGGAGAATCTAACAAATCATTCTACTGTTTCCCCCTCTCAGGGAAATTTTAGAAGCTATTCTATCAAGGAAATAAGAGATTTTACTTAAAAAAAAAAAAAAAAAGAGCAATAGGAGCTAAAAAAATAATCACTGGAGATAAAAGTATAATTTTTGAGAATAAAAGAAAAACTGAGTGGAAGCAGTAAACGGCAGAAGGGACTAAGCTAAAATCTGATGTGAAGTATTGGCTCAGTGTAATTTAAGGCATTGTCGCAGCCTCTGAACAAAAAAGCAAAGCGATGGAAATGATGAAAGGAACCAAAAGAGATCCAGGAGACTTTTCCTTCCATGGCACAGGAGTCCAAGAAAAGAGAACAGAAATGGTGCAGGTAAAACAAAGATCAAAGGAACAAGAAGTTTTCCTTGAACTGAAGACATCAGATCAACAATGCTTGCCAAATGCTTGGGGAGTTATTTTAAAAGACACTTAAGAATTCAAAAGATAAAGAGAAATTGTTTAAATGTGTGTTCGGCTGCATGAGACTCTCTAGAAGAGTAAATGGTAGCAAACAGTAGAGCAACAGATCCCAGGGAAAGTGACACACTCCAGAATTCTGTATCCAGCCCAACTATCTGTCTTGTGGGAGGAAGCAGAAACAGTATGGTTTACCTTCCATGTGCGATTACTGTGTTTTTACTCACAAAATACATCAATCCAATGGACAAAATGAATCAGAAGGAGGAATTTAAGAAAAAGAAGGTGAACTATCTGAGAAACAATCATATAAGTGAAACAAATGAATCTGAACAATTGTGGATAACGTGACCAGAAAACAAGTACAGTCAGGCATTGCTTAATAATGGAATACATTCTGAGAAATATGTCATCAGGAGATTTCATCATTGTGTGAACAACATGGAATATACTCACACACACCTAGATGGCATAGCCTACCACACACCTAGGCCATATGGTATGGACTGTTGCTCCTACGCTATAAATCTGTACAACATGTGATTGTACTGAATACTGTAGACAATTGCAAAATAATGGTAAATACTTTTGTATCTAAACATATCTAAACATAGAAAAGATACAGTAAAAATACAATATAGAACATAAAAAATGGGACACCTGTTTACTATGGATGGAGCTTGCAGGACTGGACATTGCTCCGGGTGAGTGAGTAAGTGGTGTATGAATGTGAAGGCCTAGGACTTTACCATCCACTACTGTAGACATTATAAGCACTACACACTTAGGTTACACTAAATATATTTAAAAATTTTCTTCAATAATAAATTAATTTTAGTTGACTATAACTTATACTTTATACACTTTATTATTAACTTTGACTTTTATAATCATAACTTAAAATATAAACATTATACAGCTGTACAGAAATATTTTCTTTACATCCTAATTCTATAAACTTTTTTCCATTTTTAAAATTTTTTATTTTGTTTATTTACTTTGTAAATGGTTTCGTTAAAGACTAAGACACATACACACATTAGCCTAAGCCTACATGGGTCAGGATTCTCAGTGTCACTGTCTTCCACCTACACATCTTGTCCCACTGGAAGGTCTTCAGGGCAATAACGTCTCCTGTGATAACAACGCCTGCTTCCGGATACCTCCTGGAGGACCTGCACGAGGCTGTTTACAGTTAACTTTTTTTATAATTGGAAGGAGTACACTCACTCTAAAATAATGATTAGAAGTATAGCAAATCCATAAAACAGCAAAATGGTTGTTTATTATTATTACCAAGTATGTGCTATATATAATTGTACTATACTTTTATTTAATTTAATTTAATTTAATTTTATTTTATTTTATTTTTTTTTTGAGACGGAGTCTCGCTCTGCCGCCCAGGTTGGAGTACAATGGCCGGATCTCAGCTCACTGCAAGCTCCGCCTCCCAGGTTTACGCCATTCTCCTGCCTCAGTCTCCCGAGTAGCTGGGACTACAGGCGCCCACCACCTCGCCCGGCTAGTTTTTTGTATTTTTATTAGAGACGAGGTTTCACCGTGTTAACCAGGATGGTCTCGATCTCCTGACCTCCTGATTCGCCCGTCTCGGCCTCCCAAAGTGCTGGGATTACAGGCTTGAGCCACCGCGCCCGGCCTTAATTTTATTTTTTTCTTCTTTAAGATGGAGTTTCACTTTGTCGCCCAGGCTATAGTGCAGTGGCATGATCTCGGCTCACTGCAAACTCCGCCTCCCAGGTTCAAGCAATTCTCCTGCCTCAGCCTCCTGAGTAGCTGGAATTACAGTTGCCCGCCACCATGCCCAGCCTAGATAGATAGATAGATAGATAGATAGATAGATAGATAATTTTTTTTTTTTTAGTAGAGACAGGGTTTCACCGTGTTTTCCAGGCTGGTCTCAAACTCCTGACCTCAGGTGATCTGCCTACCTAGAGTGCTCCCAGATTGCTGGGATTACAGGCATGAGCCACTGTGCCCGGCCCTGTGTGTGCTATACCTTTATATGACTGGCATCACCACAGACACATGAGTAACACATTGAGCTATGACATTATGATGGCTATAATATCACTAGGTGATATAATTTTTTAGCATCAGTATAAACTTATGGAACCACAGTGGTATATGCAGGGGGATTGTGTTAACCAAAACGCCATTATGCAGCACATGACTGCAACACAAAATTGAATCTAAGTTATTGTTGGTAATATGATGAAAAAGCTTGATGCAATTATTAAGAAAGGAATCTTGAAATAAGATGTGATCTAAAATGACAAAACCACAAAACAACTGAGAATGAATACTTCAGATTATTTCAACTAACCTTTTTTTTTTCTTTTTTCTTTGGAGATGGAGTCTCGGTCTGTTACTCAGGCTGGAGTGCAGTGGCACAATCTTGGCTTACTGCAACCTCCGCTTCTCAGGTTCAAGCCATTCTCCTGCCTCAGCCTCCTGAGTAGCTGGAATTACAAGTGCACGCTGCCAAGCCTGGCTAATTTTTTGTATTTTAGTAGAGACGGGGTTTCACCATGTTTCCCAGGCTGGTCTCGAACTCCGGAGCTCAGGCAGTACACCTACCTTGACCTCCCAAAGTGCTGGGATTACAGGTGAGAGCCACCATGCCCGGCTGTCAACTAACTCTTTGAGTTGGAGAAGCAGGGTAAGAATGAGAGGGGGAAAGGGGAAGGAAAAGAGAAAAAGAATCTGTCCTGGGTGTGGGTGGGGCTGGTGTGTGATGAAGTAGAGGTGGGGGGTGGGGAGTGGGAGAGGGCTTAACAGGGAGGGGGAAGGGAGGTCACCCCAAGGATTGCATTGTCACTCAGGATTCGCCAGCTGTGTGCTCCCCAGCACGCCATATCCACTCTTCACACCTTGGCTTCTTCCTCTGTTAAATGGGAGATAGAGCCCAGTTCATCAGATACTTGTGAAATTAAGTGGGAATACATGTCAATCACCTTATATAAAGCTGGCACGTTTTAAGCCCTAGTCACTAGGTATTATTTTAATTAATACTAATTACTATTCCTGATGGTGATGTAATATAGGTTCAGACATATTTTTAAACTCTTTTTACATAAACTTAAACCGGAGGAGGCTGGGGTGGTGTCCCTCTGTGCTGAGCCACACAAATGGAACCTGTCTTCCCAGGGCTGGGTTGGGTTGGGTTTGGAGGGTGGAATTTGTTTGCTTTTTCTTCTGGAAGGTTAGGGCTCCTCCTCTTCCCTCCCTTTCAGGTGGGTGGAGGCTGATTCCAGGGTAGAGAAGAAAGCACTTGACAAGCCTTTATTATTCTCCCCAGAGCAGAGAAGAGGATGTAGGCCTGTGTACACAATGCGATTGCAGCCATTCGTTTTTGAACTGCAGACATGGGACTGGAACCACACAACGACACTGTTCCTATTAGTTCCCTTGAGTCATCCATATCCTGCAAAGAGCCTCAATCCCTTGCGTGATGATGAGAAAAGGTCGAAAGGTCTCCTTCTACAGATCTGGGAGCCAGTTGCTTTCCTGTGGGTAACATTCTCTTTGGAGTCACTTGGGAGAGTCGGGGTGGGCACGCCAGGGTTTTATCAGGGTGGGGAATTGGGAGCTGGGACGCCCACCATTCAGCCTTTGGAGCTTTCTGACAAGGGAAGGAACCTTGGTAGAAACTTCCCTCCTGCGGAAGTTTGTTTAAAGCCAGGTAATCACTGTTATCCTCATTACTGTTTACCAGCCACAAACCACTTAATCTCAGAATTCTTAAGGACTGTGGGTGTTATCCCCAACCTACAAGTGAGACCATCGACACCCAGGGAAGTGAAGGAATTTGCCCCTGCTGGGTGGAAACACTGGATTCCAGCCCTGGAGAAACAGATCCATGGTATAACATCAGGAAGAATTTGAGGGCAGCACGTTTCTTTTATGCTTTATCGCTATTTTTAGATTATTTTCATTTAAGAAAAGAACTTTTATTTGCGTTGAAAAAAATACTTGAATGTATCTGTACTTTATAGAGATGAACAGTAGAACAGTAACAATGTCCCATGAAATGGGAACAACCCTGCCTTATTTCTTCTTGAAGCCTGGTGGCTTTCTGTTTATGAATGTGGTGATTTGACTCATGAACTTGCCTTTCCTTCTGCTTGGGAATGTGATGGTCATAGTGTTTTCATTTTCCAAACTCTGTGAGGGACCTTCAGCTGGGGTATTTTGTACGCAAAGCTCAGAGGTAAACACATAAGGTCATATCCTCAAGTCTCAGCTGCCACCACATTGGACATCGAACTTGATGGAAACCAAGATGGGAATAAGCTTCCATAACCCAAGGAAGGACTTTGGGATGGGCGCGGTGGCTCACACCTATAATCCCAGCACTTTGAGAGGCCGAGGCAGGCGCATCACGAGGTCAAGATATCGAGACCATCCTGGCCAACATGGTGAAACCCTGTCTCTACTATAAACACAAAAATTAGCTGGGCATGGTGCCGCGCACCTCTAGTCCCAGCTACTCGGGAGGCTGAGGCAGGAGAATCGTTTGAACCCAGGAGGCAGAGGTTGTAGTGAGCCGAGATCGCACCACTGCACTCCAGCCTGGGCGACAGAGCAAGACTGTCTCAAAAAAAAAAAAAAAAAAAAAAAAAAGTTGGCTGCAAACTCCAGAATGGAATATTTTATATTAGTTCTTGAATAAAACTTGGAATAATCTTCACACCCTAGTCCCCATCTGACCTGAACCCTTGGCAATATTTGATGCAGTGCTGACCACTCAAACTCCATTCTCTTGATTTCTGCAATGTCTTTCTCTTGGTTTTTCTCTTTCCTCTGAATCCCTCCTTCTCAGGTTCTTTCATGGGTTCCTCCTCTTCTCCTCCACCTGTTAGTGCTGGAGATGCCAGGGTGCAGTCCCTGGTTCTCTCCTGCGCCCCGTCATTGTTGATCTCTGGGGATCTCTGGGGATCTCACCCACATTTCAATCATGACTCAAAGTATCTCATCTGTGTTAGTTCCAGCTCAGACCTCTCCTGAATGCCCACCACTCTTTACCCTCTGCCTGTTTGATAGTCCACTGGGCTTCCTCACATCCATCTCAGATTCTACAGCATCCACATGGAATTCCTGCTCTGTCATCCCCTCTCATTCCTACCTGCCATCCTCCTCACCTCAGCCACATAGCCCATCTGTCCCTCTTGCTGTTCAGACCACAGTTTGGAGACACCCTTGACTCTTTTTCTCACACCACACATCCAGCCATCAGGAGTCATGCTGGATCTACCTTCAACCTTTACCAGAAACTGACCAACCGTTCCTCACCTCTCCACGGCCACCTGGCCCCAGCTCCCATCCTCCCTCACCTGCTGCAACCTCCAGCAGTTCTCTGGCCTCTGCCCTTGTCCTCATGGTCTGTTCTCTGCCCAGCGGCTCCAGTGATCTTGTTAAAATGTGGCACAGAGTGTCGCTCCTTTGTTTAAAAGCCTGCAATGGTTCTCATGGGACTGCATCTTACAGTGGTCCTTGAGGCCCTCTGTGGTCCACAAGCCCCCTTGCTCTCCCACTGCAACCTGTTCTGCTCCAGCCCCTCAGGCCTCCAGCCTCACTGTGACTCTGGGGAATGCTCACATGCCTCTACCCTTAAGGCCTCCTTGCAGTCAGTTACTTCTACCTGGAAGCTTACACGCTAGACAGCTCCAGGAGGAACACTCTCACACTTCCTCAAGTCCTTGCCCAGAGGGCACTTCCCGTTTCCAGTCACAGCCAGGCCCCTTCCCCCTACCTTGGCCCAGGCACTCCCTGACTCTTACTGTCCCCTGTAGTTTTGATTTTCTTCTTTCCTTTTTCCCTTCCTTCTTTCTACCTGCCTGTTTGCCTGCCTGCCTTCCTTTTTTCCTTTCCTTTCTTTCCCTTTCTTCTCTTCCTTTCCCCCTCCCTCTTTTCTTTCTTTCCTTTCCTTTTCTTTTCTCCTTCCTTCCTTCCTCTCTTTCTTTCTTTCTTTTCTTCCTTCCTTCCTTCCTTTCTTTCTCTTTCCTTTCTTCCCTCCTTCATCCCTTCTTTCTCTCCATTTCTCTCTCCCTCCCTCTCTTCCTCTTTCCCTGCTTCCTTCCTTCCACAGCTGTAATCATTTTATAACAAACCACACAAATGGATGACTCACTGTGTTTGCTGTGGACGTTCACGATCTCACTGTGCCCTGTCTCCCTGCATACCTCCCTCCCCAGCACATAAGCTCCATGAAGGCAGCAATCAATCTTTGCCTGTTTTGTTTACTGATGTATCTTGAATGCCCAAAACAGAAGTTGGCATGTCACAAGTGCTCAACACCTATTTGTTGAATGAATGAAGGAATGAATGAAAGAAGGAGTCACAGGGATTCCAAAGGGACTGCCAGGGACCTCTTCTTTACTGGATTCCTAGCTTGTCCTACAGTTTGGGTGGCCCTTGCACATTCTCCTGGTGGCTGAAGTTCCTGCCACTCTGAACTGAGCTTAATGTGCTACTAGGGTCAACCCACACCCTGCTGGCCACTCTGAGTGCAACAGTGTCCATCTCAGGGTGGGAGATACCATTGCTCCCTAGTTGTGCCAAGCCATCCATTAAGCCACTAAAACGGCAGGGCCTGAGCCCGGCACATGGACTGACTCTTCATTTCCTACTTGGCAGGAGGCACTTCAAGTACAGACCAAGAGAAAAGTCTACCAAGGAAAGGGAGACGAACAAGCTGAGGACACCGAAGAATCTTGTTGGGATCTGCAGATAGCAAGAAGAATCTTTAATAAATAAGACTCCCATTAAAAATAACTTCATGGGTTTTAAAAAGTCATTTTCAAATGAACAGGCACTAAAACTTCTGATTTGGGACAGAAGACTGAAAATACAATTTTTTTCATTGTCTTTTTGTCACTAAATACATAGGATTTTGTGTAGCTCCTCTTTTATTTGTTCATGTAAACCCAGTTGATTCACGGGGTATTTTGTTTTTCTAAGGCATAATTCTTTTAAGTCCACTTATTTCTTCCTATGCCTACTGATATGGTCTGGCTGTGTCCCCACCCAAACCTCATCTGGAATTATAGTTCCCATAATCCCCACGACCGATATGGTCTGGCTGTGTCCCCACCCAAATCTCATCTGGAATTATAGTTCCCATAATCCCCACGTGTCATGGGAAGGACCAGGTAGAGAAAACTGAATCATGGGGGCAGTTTCCCCCATCCTGTTCTCACTCTCATGAGTGAGTTCTCACGAGAGCTGATGGTTTTATCAGGGACTTCCCTTCTCTGAGCACCCATTCTTCTCCTTGCTGCGCCATGTGAAGAAGGAAGTGTTTGCTTCCCCTTCTAAGTTTCCTGAGGCCTCCCTAGTCCTGCATAACTGTGAGTCAATTAAGCCTCCTTCCTTTATAAATTACTCAGTCTCGGATATGTCCTTACAGCAGCATGAGAACAGACTAATACACCTACTTTTCATATTTAGTATTTTGTGCTACCATATCTATAAAAAATTGGGTTATTAATATATACAATTCTGAAAGTGCTGTTAGTATGAGCAGATCTCAATGTGGACATTCAGGTTAAATGATCTTCAATCGTCACTCCAGCCAGAGAGAACACAGGAAGATGCTGGGCTTAGGTCTTGACTTCTATATGCTTGTACATTCTGCCAGAAAAGAAACAGAAAAGGAAAATGGAAATTGCATGTATATGGGGCCATGCCTGGTTTGGTGATCTTGGCTATCTTTTCTGCACATGGCCTCGCTAGCCTTCAATCTCAATCTCTCTCTCTCCCTTCTCTCTTCCCTTCTTTCTCTCCTTCTCTCCCTCCCTTTCTCTCCCTTTCTTCCTTTTTATGTCCTTTGCATGTTCTCAGGCCCACTTTCACGTCTGTCTTCTATCAATGAGGATGACTGACTCTGGAACCCCAGGACCAAGCATCTCAGGCAAAGCAGAGAACTTACCCAGAGAGAGCAACATTTATTGTTGCTGACTAACATTTATTGAGCACTTACTGTATACAAATGCCAACGCCTTACCTTTACTAAGTCATCTAACCCTCCTATCAACCTCATTTTAACAGATAAAGAATCTGGGGTACAAAAGGGTTACATCACTAGCCAGAGACTAACTGGCAGTGGCAGGGGAAAGTAACTGACATGAGATGATTTTGTATTTGAGAGTATTTTGCAAAATGTAAAATCCTATACAAACTTAAGCATCAGAGCTCTGTTATTCGTGCATCTCTAGGGAATAGGAAGCTTAGATGATTTCAATACTTGAATAAAATATTTTACTGCATTCATAGCTTACAATATTAAAATAATGATATTGCAGGGTACGATGGATGAACAGTATCATCAGGGGCTTCAACAGCAACTCTTCGGAGCTCTTCTGGGTAGCAGATGTGACAGCTACAGCAGTCAGGTTCTCCTAACCCACAACAGCCCAAAGCTATCTTCATTGTGACCACCCGACAAATGAGGAAACGGGCTCTCAGGCTCAGTTACTCACGCAATGGCGTCCTCCATTCTTCCAGGCCCTGACTTGTGCTCCACAGATGCATTGTAACTCGTCTTGGGCTTTTTTCCCAGCAGCTGCTCATATCAGGTTCCATTTCTCCTCCTGCTGGAGAAGCCTCACCAGGTCCTGGTGCACACAGGAGGGCTTCCCTGACCACCCCAGCCCAGAGACCCCATTCTCCCCCATCACACACACACACGCAGACACACTCAACCTCCACACACACAAGCACACATCACACACACATCATATACACTCCCTCACCACACAACACTACACACCACACATCACACTCTCAGACACACACATCGCACACCACACATCACACACCCAGACACACACATCATATACACTCCCTCACCATACCACACCACACACCACACATCACACACTCAGAGACACACATCGCACACCACACACACATCATATACACTCCCTCACCATACCACACCACACATCACACACTCAGACACACACATCGCACACCACACACACATCATATACACTCCCTCACCACACCACACTAAACACCACACATCACACACTCAGACACACACATCATATACACTCCCTCACCATACCACACTAAACACCACACATCACACATCACACACTCAGACACACACATCATATACACTCCCTCACCATACCACACTAAACACCACACATCACACATCACACACTCAGACACACACATCATATACACTCCCTCACCATACCACACCACACACCACACACCACACATCACACACTCAGACACACACATCGCACACCACACACACATCATATACACTCCCTCACCATACCACACCACACACCACACACTCAGACACACACATCGCACACCACACACACATCATATACACTCCCTCACCACACCACACTAAACACCACACATCACACACTCAGACACACACATCATATACACTCCCTCACCACACCACACTAAACACCATACATCACACATCACACACTCAGACACACACATCATATACACTCCCTCACCACACCACACTAAACACCACACATCACACACTCAGACACACACATCATATACACTCCCTCACCATACCACACTAAACACCACACATCACACATCACACACTCAGACACACACATCATATACACTCCCTCACCATACCACACTAAACACCACACATCACACATCACACACTCAGACACACACATCATATACACTCCCTCACCATACCACACTAAACACCACACATCACACACCCAGACACACACATCATATACATTCCCTCACCACACCACACTAAACACCACACATCACACACCCAGACACACACATCATATACACTCCCTCACCATACCGCACCACACAGCACACATCATACGCTCAGACACACACATCATATACACTCCCTTACCACACAACATTACACAGCACACATCACACTCTCAGACACACACATCGCACACCACACACATCATATACACTCCCTCACCACACCACACTAAACACCACACATCACACACTCAGGCACACACATCGCACACCACACACACATATACTCCCTCACCACACACCACTACATACCACACATCACACACCCAGAAACACACACACACATTGCACACCACACACACATCATGTATACTCCCTCACCACACAACACTACACACCACACATCACACACTCAGACACACACATTGCACACCACACACACATCATATATACTCCCTCACCATGCGACACTACATACCACACATCACACACCCAGACACATACATCACACACCATATACACTCCACCACACCACACTACACACCACACGTCACACACCCAGACACACACATTGCACACCACACACATATCGTATAGACTCCCTCACCACACCACACTGCACACCACACATCACACACCCAGAAACACACACACACATTGCACATCACACACACCATGTACACTCCCTCACCACACAACACTACACACCACACATCACACATCCAGACACACACATCGCACACCACACACACCATATACACTCCACCACACCACACTACACACCACACATCACACACTCACATCGCACACCACACACACATCATATATACTCCCTCACCACGCAACACTACATACCACACATCACACACGCAAACAGCACACAGGACACACATGCCACACACCACATACACATCACACACACCACACATATGGCACACACTTTGCACACCACACATGGCATACACATTGCACATGCAATGCTACACACACAATACACACTACATATCACACAAACACATCACATACTATCACATACAGACACATATACAGCACACCCATACACATCAGTATCTCTTGATGGCTCGTTAGCCATAAACCGCATTGCATCTGCTCTCACACCAGCCCCACTGTGCTCACGAAGGCTTTCACTTGGTCCTGCCCCAAGCACCTCCAGGACAGGTGCTGTGTCACGCTGCTACCCCTGAGGCGTATGACTGGTCGCCGGCTGTCCCAGTCTGCTCGTCAAGTTCCCCAGCCCCGACCTGTGCTCTAGAGGGCGGGTGACCGTCCAGTGCCATTGGACATTTTCTGAGACAATGGCTGGCTGCTTTTGGCTGGTGGTCCCGTGAAGTCAGCCAGAAGCAGAACCCCTGGACACTGACTCAGTTTCCCCAAGACTACTTGACTGAGGGAGGGCTCATCAACCCTGGCAGGTTTTTCTCAAACACTCCCTGTCCTCCTGGTCCTCACCCCACCACCCCACCTGCATCCTCTGCTCTCCATCTCCACCAGGAGGGAGGAGAAAACCAATCCCAGTGGTGCCCACATCTGGAATTATCTCCCTGGCGCTCAGGCCGACAGCTTTTCCAAGAACACTCGATGTGAGCACCTGTAGCCTTTGCTTCTCATTTCCTCCTAAGAGGAGCCACTGGGATGCCATGAAGGAAAGCATATGGAGGGCAATGGAGACTCACGGATTAATCCTTGGAATTCTGTCCCATGACATCCCATGCTCTGACCTTGTGGCACAAGGGCCTTTGGACGCCGCAGGTGGTCATAGAGGCTGACAGTGCATGCGCCCCATGTTGAGCCAGACTTCCTCTAAGCAGCTACAGTATCAGCTCATTGAATCTCCATGACAGCCCCATGTTGACCAGGCTTCTTCTAAGCAGCTACAGTATCAGCTCATTGAATCTCTATGACAGCCCCACGTTTACCTGGCTTCTTCTAAGCAGTTAGAGTATCAGTTCATTGAATCTTCACCACAGCCCCATGTTGAGTGGGGCTTCCTCTAAGCAGCTACAGTATCAGCT